ATGAATCTATGCTTAATGCTATTATTTGTGTCTAGAATAACTTCCTAAACTCTCTCAGGTTTTCTATGAATGCAACTGTCCACATGTTGGGTGCCATTTGTTGGCAGGGGTTTCTGTCCTGCCAGGACCTGCAACCATTAAGTCCCAAGGAATCACATAGAGGTCTATATTAATTATAAGTTGATTGGCCCATTAGCTCAGGCTTCTTATTCTTAACTAATTCTTATAACTTACATTAGCTCATAATTATTGTCTGTGTTAACCATGTGGCTTGGTACCTTTTTCAGGGAGGAAGTCACATCCCTTTTGCTCTATGTCTGGCTTCCTCGGTATTTGGATGATGACTGCAGACTGACTGTTTCTCTTCCCAGAATTTTTCTGTTCTCATGGCCTTGCCTCTACTTCCTGCCTGGTTGCCCTGCCTCTACTTCCTGCCTGGCTACTGGCCAATCAACATTTATTTAAAATACAAGTGACAGTGTACAGACCATTGTCTGTACATTTTAGCTCTGTCCCATTTTAGTGAACCAAAACTAAGGCTTAGATTTCTGTCAGGCTAGTAGGAGAACCTGGTCTGAGCCCACAACCCCAGCTCTCTCAGTTTTAGGTAGATGAGTGTGAAGACCAAGTCTCTGAAGTGACTCACCTTGTAGTCATCTTAAATAACAAAAAGAAAGGAAAGTCCCCATTCTTAACAGGAATAGCCTCGTGTGTGTGTGTGTGTGTGTGTGTGTGTGTGTGTGTGAATTTTCTAACTTACCTATTTTATCCAGTGAATTAGAGAAAATAATTTTGGTTGTTGACTTATCTAACCGCCAACTTCTTTAATGTGGGGCTTGATTTTTCAGGGTTTTTTCTTTTTTCTTTTTTTTCTTCCATTTTGGCTAGCTAGATACTGAGTACAAAAAATTAAAAGCTTGGCAGTAGAGTTAGTTCTTCTGTTTAATTAATAGGCAGTGCAAATAATTTAATTTTTTGTACAATTCTAAGGATATTTTAATATATTTACACTAGTGCTGTGCAATGAGATAAACAGAGATTGGTCTGATAACGTCATCATCCTGGTGGGAGACAGTGACAGCATCTTATGACTGTCACTGGACAGAAACAATACAAGCATGTTCCCAGTCTAATCCCCATACTCTGTGTACTCCAGTTAGTTAGATGACCCTTAGGGAACTATGTATACACATTCTTCCCATCATTCATTTCTCATCCTCTGTTTATTCTCACTTAGTTTGAACATACCAAGGGAACTCTACAGGGTCTCTGTAATGAGTCTCACAGCCACGAAATGTAGACGATCACAGGAGCCTTTAAGCCCCCTTCATCTAAGACTGACCAAAAGGAGATGAAATTTCACAACTTTATAATCCACGCATCTTATCATTTAGCTTTAAGAACAATATAGCAGAAACCAGCTTTCACAGTCTAATTTGCACATCAGCTCTCAGGCTGCTGGCATGTGCTTGTACAACTCATTCTCTCCAAGATTCTGCTTCCCCATCCCAATGCTTGGGAACAGATGCAGCACTGTAGTTAATTGCTATGAGATTTAACTGAGATACTGTCTTCAGAGTTTGAGCTGGTGCTGACTGGAGGTGATTGGTAGAGAAAATATAGAACTCATTTCCCATCTCTGAAAAAGCTATTTGAATACAAGATATATGCTAGCATCTTTGGATAACATCATTGTCATTTGGTAAGAAAGGGAGTTTGGCTAAATCATAATCCACCAATTCCTATTTAGTTGTAAAACATAGCAATTTGAGAAATAATACAAAGTTCCAAAAGAGAAGGGAAAGTTAGATAAAAAGATAGTGAAAGACAGAAATCTATTTAGCTGTGATTCCGTGTCATATATGTTAATAATTATTCTAATGTTAACTAGAAAGGCCCATCAAACTGTGGACCAAGCATTAACACACTGGTGTTTGAGGCATCTTCAGTCAACATCTGTGATCAAATAAAGGCCAGTATTTGTTGTTTATGCAATGGCAGAAACAGCTCTAAGAGTTTTCTGTGGATTCACAGATGAGATCTTTGAGAAGCTCGATACACTCATGTACACACACACACACACACACACACACACACACACACATAGAAGAGGAAATCCAAGCAGAACATTTCAAATGAAATTATCCAATAAATGTACATTTACTTCTGATCTCACAATTTAAAACCATTTCTTCTCTAACGCTTTCCCCTCAACTTTCACATTGATATTGTTTCTAGTTTTTAAGTTTTTCACTTTCAAAATGTTATATGTGTGTTTTGCCTTTATGCATATCTGTGTACCATGTGTGTGCTTAGTGTCCACAGAGGCCAGAAGAGAACACTGGCTCCATTATGTCATTGCTAGGAATCAAGCCCAGGTCCTCTGGAAAAGCAGATGGTGTCAAAGCATCTCTCCAGCCCAATATACTACTTGTATTCTGAGTGTCTGAATGTTTAATATATAGAACTCAGAACACAGTTGGAATTCTAATATGAAAGTCAGTTCAAATATTTAAGAAGTTTCAATTTTTTAAAATTATTTAGCACAATAGGATATGGATTCAAGTGCCAAATGCCACACACAGGAAGTTAAACAGTTGACCATATTTGTGTGTGTGTGTGTGTGTGTGTGATTTATTTACTTTTAATTTGTAATCATTGGTGTTTTGTTTGCATGTATGTCTACATCAAGGTGTCAGATCTTGGTGTTATCGACAATTGTGGGCTACCCTGAGAATGCTGGGAATTGAACTCGGGTCCTCTAAGAGTCAGAACTCTTAACTGAAAAGCTATCTCTTGATCCCCAGATGATGATATTATAATGAGGCTTAAATACTGGCTGAAATCTCAGTCATTCCTAAATGGAAAGAGTATGAGGTAAAGAATGAAATCAGGAGCTTGGTTCAAGATAAATGAAGCTCTAGCTGCTGCATAAGAAGATGATGGCTGGAGAGATGGTTCAGGGGTTAAGAGTAGTTTTAACTGTAGTCTTAACCCTTCACTGCTACTAGAGGTCCTCAGTTCAATACCCAGCACCACAGAATGTCCTCTTCTGGTGTGCAGGCATACATGCAGAACACTGTATATGTGATAAATAAATCTTAGAAAAATGAAGATGATGAGAAGCTTCAATATATGCCCCACATGGTTTGTGTTCTAAAACTACAAGAGAAAAACTTAAGTCAGTGAAATTAGTTTTAATGATACACTAAATATTGTACTTAAGATATGTTATTCCAGTGTGTGATTAATATTAGAATTATTGAGATATTTTATATATTTCTTTGTTTTCAAATTAACTTCCGTTGATGAAAAAGCTTCTGTTTACTGTGATTACAGTTCATATGTTTACCATATACCAAGGGTTGTATGCAAGCATGTCATGGCTCAAGTAATTTAACTACCTATGCATTAGCTCATATTCTTAGGTGATTTTTATGGTAAAAAACACTGTAAAAGTCTCCCATCTTAAGCAATTTTCAAAACTAGAAGTGTAGTTATCAACTGTAGTCATTGTGTTCCAGCATGGACCAATTCACGGCTCCTTTAACACGGAGAATCCTTTGTCTTTCAATCAACCATTGTGTTACCTATCCCAATCCTGGCCACTGAGCCCTCGTGATCAAACTCACTATCCACATCTGTCTGTTCAGTTCTCTAAAGTGCCACACAAAAGTGAGATCACGTGATGGTATGTCGCTTAACAGTGTCCTCTGGGTAGATCTTCTGGGTTGCTAATAACAGACCTGCCTTCATTTCAGCTAATTACAGTTCAGAACCATGGACCCATATTGGAGCAGGGTATTTGTCTTTAGTACTGAGTAGCCTGGATTTCTTACATGTTTTGGATGTCAGTCTCTTAGCAGATTCATGGATTGTAAATATATCACCTCATTACATGCTTCATCCTTTTCCCCTGTTGACTCTTTCCTTTGTGGTACAATATCACCACAAAGAAGAAGATACTTACAGAACATCTCAGTTCCGAATGAGAATGTCTACATGTTGAGCGTTAATATCCTCATGTAACTGTTGACTTCTGTGTTGGATGAAAAAGATCTAGACAGAACAAATCTTGGACTAAAATCCAAGAAAAGTCAATAGATCCATGTGGAAATTCATTGATAGACATCAGGGTCTTCTTCAAGAGCTCAGTACTAGCTGAATGGAGTATCTGCCGAGTACATAGCAGCTACTGTTTAGTGTAGGTGACTGGTTAGGATTTCACAACTATTTCAAATGTTTGAGGTGGAAAGAATGCCAAGCCCAAGATGGAGGCTTAGAATCCCGTCTTTGTTTGTGTAAGACGTGGTCAAGGCATGTACCCATTTTCCTCAGCTCTAAGCTGTTGTTTTTCCAAGCAGTGATTTGACAATGAAATTAAATAATTTTGTTTAAATTACAGCGAAAAAATAAATAAAAGGAATAGTGACTGCATTATTGAGTTAATTTAGGATCGAAGATGTGGCATCCACATTGTCGTTTGTAAACTAGAATCTACATTAAAATTCCTTCATAAAATAGTTCTAAGAAATGGGACTGTATTTAAATTATTGAATTGTTAAAAATAAATCTCAAAGAGTGGTATAATTATTAGGTGTATCTAATTGTCTCACTTTATTGGGTCAACAAATTTCATTTTTAGTTCTACCCAAATGGTCATGAGCTAAAGGAGAGATATACGAAAAAGATGGATTTATGTTTCTTACTGCACAAAGAAGAAGTGAATTCGGAGAAAGTCATTTTGACTATATTATAACAAACCATTGTGTCAACATTTTACATCAATAAGAAACAACTGTTATCCATTCTCAGGAGGCAGGAAAATTTTAAGGGTGAATTAATAGGTTGCATTGATAATCACTTATTTTAGACTGGTTCATCATAAATATGAAGTTATCATCCATAAAAGAATATATGATTATATAGATTGGAAAATTTTAGAAAGTATTCAGTCTTTTTCCACACCTGAGAATGATGGCTAATGCTTGTGTTTCCAGCACTCAGGAGATGAAGGTAGAAAGATACCAAGTTGGAAACCAACCCGGACTCTAATGCAAGAGTCTCAGGCCACCTAGAGCTACACAAGATCTTTCCAGAAGACCATCTCAGTGAGTGAACTAAATTATCCTTCATCTAAACTAACTTTTTTGGAATTATTTAAATAAACATATATCAATTGTGTATGTCTATTGGGTATACTGTAACATTTTAAATATGTACATAATATGTAATCGTACCACATGTGGGCCATTGAGGTACTAACACCTTAGGCACTTGCCTCTTCTTTGCATTGGAAACATTCAATGTCCTCTACCTGTTCTGTGTAATATTCAAGTAATTATTCTCAAATATTGAATTAACTTTTAACAAATTTCTTCAGGAAGAAAGGCATGGTGACACAAATCCATAATCCTAACAAGAGGGAAACTGAGGCAGGAAGAGCAGGAGCTCAAAGTCAGCCTGGGTTACATAATAACACTCTGTTTAGAAGAGATGGAGGGAAGGAAGAAAGGAGTAAGGGGGAAGGGAAGGAAGAAGGGAAGAAGTAAGAGGGGAAAGTGGAAGGGAAGAGGAGAAAAGGGAAAAGGACGGAAGAGTAGAAAGGAGAAGTAATTTTTTAAATTTTGTGTCCAGGCAGGGCTGTGTCGGTAGGGGAGAAAAAGTTTTATGTTTCTTATTTAAGGTAAAGCAGAGTTTACACTTGATTTAAGACAGCCGCAGTATATAATAAGATTCAATTTCAAAGAATAACAAGCAGGCAACGACACATTTAAAACCAAAATATATCTTTCCTTCTTTGGATTGGTTTTCTTAGAAGAATTTCTTTCTGAGCTAAAATATTTTTGCAGAACCTCAATATATAAAACAAACTTAAGGCCATATTGTATGAGCTTAAGATAAATTATGTCATATTTGTTTCTTCTGATACAAATATAACAGTGTGAAGACAGCTTTGATCAGTTAAAATATTTTACTTAGCTATAGGAGGATCACTACCTGTGAGGGTCTCATATCCCTGCTTGTACTTTCATGTGCATATCACTATAAACATGAATATAAACTGTTCAGAATTAATGATAGTGAGCAATTTTGAACAGAAAATGATAATAGTGATTTAATAGTGATGATGGTGTTTCATTGTACTTCTTTTTTGTTATTTTCTCTCTGAAATTTTCACTCATGTATGCGATGTACCTTGATCATATCTATCCCTGCCCCTTTGCTCCATCTTTGTGTTCCTTACACATCCTGGTCTGTGACATTTCAATTCTCTTTGATGTGTGAAACCCAGAAACTTAAAGTAGATACACACTGAAACTTGATTCACAGTTTAATCAGTAGGAATATCAACAATTTGTTCACACTTCCTACTATAAAACTGAGAGTCACATGACCAAAAGGTAATTACTGCTTTCTTAGTGGGTCAAATCTTCACCAGGAGATACTTTACAATACATAGACCAAGCAGAGGGAAAATTATTTTACCAAGTCTAAATTGCAAAAAAAAGAAAAGGTAGTAAATTTGGCATTTATATACATACACACACACACACACACACACACACACATATATATATATATATAACATATACATACATGTGTCTCCTTTCTTCTTATATATATATATATTCTGTGTATATGTTTATCTTTATATACATATATATATAATTATAAAGTCATCCAACATATGAAACACATCTAATTATCTGGTTTGGGAAGGACTAAAACATAAGATACTAGTATTATTTAAGCTTGCAGGAATATGATCTGAGTAGAGCTACTATATAATCACTTATTATTTATTCTGATGTATGACAAAGATAGTCATTATTTTATATATCATTAAGATAGGCAAGCATATTATAATAGCTTGAATAGTTAGTAACACAGACATTTGACTTGTTACTTTCAAAAAGAATCTGAATGAAGGGAAAAACATCCTTCAACAATTTAAAATTAAAAAACAAGAGGAAAAAGAAGAAATAAACTTATCACAAATTATTAAGTAACGGCAATAAACACACCACAAACCTATTAGAAGTTGTGTGAGAGTGTATATGTGTGTGAGAGAGTAGTAGTAAGCAGATCATATTCCTTTAAACTTAAATAGTAATATTATCCTATGTTTTAGTTTTAATTCTTTCCAAACCAGGTAATTAGATTGTGTTTCATATGTTGGATTATTTTAAAATTATAGATATCTGTATATAAAGATAAACATATACACAGTATACTTATAAGAGGAAAGGAGACACATGTATGTATATGTGTGTGTATATATATGTGTGTGCGTGTATGTATATAAATGCCATATGTATCTAGTGATTATCTAGGATTGATGCGTTGGTATTAAAAATTCAGTAGCTTATTTGCAGTCAACTTAGGCTGTGTAGGGTCTTCACTGCCAAGTTCAGCTACATAGTGAAACCATGCCAAAACCCCCAAGGCTGGGAATCTCGCTCAGTGGTAAAGTACTCATGTACAAGAACCTGGGTTCAATTTACAAGTGAAAAAATGGATAAAATTTTAGGAGACACACCTGAGAACTCAAAGAGATTTCAGTCAATTAAAGGATTAATAGTAAAGAATGTGGGTGAAACAATAATACTGAATAAAACAGGTTTGAAGGCAAGAGAAACTCATGCAGAAAATCATATTATAATGCTAAACTTGAGCAGCCTTAATTACTAAGACAGTATAAAACTCTAAACTAAGGTGTACCTGAAAGCATAGCTTTGAGCAGATGGAGGAATGGCTCAGTGGTTATGAACACTGGCTGCTCTTCCATAGCACAAGGCTTCAATTTCCAACACACACACAGTGACTCACAACTTATAACTCCAGTCACAAGAGATCTGGCACTTTTTTTCTGGCCTCTGTGGGCACCACTATGTATATATACAGTGCATAGACACACATACATGGAGAACGCCTACACTTATAAAAATAAAATGCATAAAAGATTTTAAAGGTGTAACTACAAAACACATAAAGTAGAAAAAAATGACAATTACCATTCAGAAATAAGTTCACCATAACAGGGTATAATGATAGGCCATTTACACATGGTGAAAAAGATGTGACTGGCTACAGAACATTTGAACAATGTAATTAACAAACTTGACATGATGTATCCAATCACAATACAGCCTTCTTTGTCTTTCTTCCCTGAAGCGTCAAGATAGGACACAGCACACCTCCCCATTTCCATGAATTTATCTCCTCTTCTACTCTCGTAGATACCAAAAGTGGTGGAAAAGTGTTGGAGGTACAATCAACTCTCATCAGACACATCTGGCTAGTGCCCATTAGAACAAAAGGTACATGGTGCCCCAATTCCATGATAAATAGTCCAATTCCACATTCTAGGAGGCTAAAAGTAGCAGCTAAAACTATTCCAAACAGAACAGATCCCATGTAGGCCAAACAAACTCTTCTCAGTGATTGACCCACTATTCTGCCCCTAGGAAAATCAGGCAAAGAGGGACAGCATCAACTCTTTGTGGACCCAGTATCACCTTTCTGGTTTTAGTTAGACAGACAAATATGTCTGGATTTTAAGCAGGTGATATTGAAGTTAACCCCTCATTATCACCATGTTCATAATACTGAAATGGAACATGTATGTTAGGGGAAGGCAGTTGTGTTACAAATTCCACACCTAGGGAGGTGTTAACCTGATCCACAATGGCAGACAAAGAGTTACAATGTGTTCAGACAGTTCCCATGCCTTCTCAAAGTGTACATTGCTTTTTATTAATTTCTAGATAAAGTATGGTTAAAAATAAAATGAAGATGAAAACTACTAGATATTGAAGGACAGTACACAGAGCACAGTTAAAAATAAGTCTTGTGACAGACACAGGAATTGGAATATTTCTACAACAGATATTTTCTATTAATGAATTGATTTCATCTATCATGTCTGTATCCCTGTCATAAAGTCTATTATCACTATATATATATATATATATATATATATATATATATATATCAATAACCAACACAAAATGCACTGCAAGTACAGTGTGGTCAAATATAATGCACAACAACACATAGTTAACTTTCCCACTGATTTGTCATGGCTTTATTAATTCAACAAATACTGATAATATTTCTACCAAGGTCAGGTACAGAGTAGACACTAGAGACACCACCGTGATGAAACAGATAAAATATTTTTTAAAATGCTCAGTATCCCTAGCAATGAAACAAATGAAAATTAAAACTACTTTGAGATTTCAAAGTCAGAACAGCTTTTTAATATTTTATTATTTTTAGAAGATGACTAACAAGTACAGGTGAGGATGCGTCAAAGGGGGCGTGCTCCTTAACTTCTGGTGGGATTGCAAACTGGTACTGGCCACTATGGAAATCACTGTGGAGAATCCTCCAAAAGCTAAAATGACATCTACCATATGACTCAGCTATACCACTCCTTGGCATTTGCCCAAAGGACTTGACATTACTACGAAGGTATTTGCTCAGTCATGTTCCCTGATGTGCTCTTCACAATAGCAAAGACATGCAAACAATCTAGTTATCGCTGAGCCAACAAATAGAGAATGAGACTGTGGGATGAGTTCATAATGAAGCCATGTTCAGCTGAAAAGAATAGCAAAACTTTAAAATTTTTATCTAAACGGATAAAACTAGAAACTATTGTATTGATTGAAGTAATCCAGAAAGACAAGCCTGTGTGTTCTTTCATGTTTGTGGATTCTAGATTTGAATCTTTGCATGTGACGACAAATTCTAGGGTAACCAAGAAAATGTGGAGACACAAAAGGAACTATTGGCAGAGGGAAAGAGGAATAAGGCACTCTAGAGAGGAAGTTAGCAGGACACAGGAGCTGTGAAGGGGCATGGGGAGGGAAAAGGAGGGCAGTGTAACTGGGAAGAAAGAAGAGAGTTTGATACTGAGAGGGAGAGAGGAGAGATAAACAATACTGAGGATGTTTGGAAAGGTCAGAAGGAAACATTTTTGTAAGCACTTTACTTTAAAAATACATTTATAATACACATAAATATATGTATTTATAGGTTTTTATCTATTAAACTACATACATGTATATCACAACAATGGTTATAGAGGAGATCA